TTTGTCTCTGTGTTTCCCTGTGATGGACTGGAAACCTGTCCAGGGTGGACCCTGCCTCTCGCCCGCAGACAGCTAGAGATAGACACCAGCACCCCTTGCGACCCCAATTGGGACAAGCGTGTCAGAAAATGGATGGATGGATAGTGATGGGACCATAATCAGATGTCTGACGGGGGCCAGAACGGGCAACATCAAATCCTACCTGAAACTCCTGGCTAAGGACTTTATCTTACTTAAATACAGTAAGACTGTTATACCTCTTTCCCTCTGGCTAAAATACCCATTTAAACCCAGGAACAATCTGCTTTTAGTGGCATTGGAAATGAGTCAAACAACCCGCCTCGGATCTGATTGGCATGCTATGGGAACATCACCCACTAAATTACGTGATACCATTGAACGTAACATACGGATGTCAACACACCGTGCAAGTCGCTTCTGATCTAACAACCAGAAACAACTCTGTTTATATTCGATAAACAATGAGCAGCTCTGGTGAAAGGAATTCATACAGCTAATAGAGAGAAACAATAAAGCTCACTGACTATAACCTGGCTTCCTTCCATGTTGTTCTCCATTGTTTACTTCCCTGATTCTGTCTTCTTCGAAAAACTACTTCTTCAGAAATGTAAACCAACATGAGTATTAGTTCTAGATTTCTACCACTGAATATAATAAAATATATAGCAACAAGGCCTACAGTAGTACTGCCTTTAAGAGTTTAACATTACCTTAAAGGAAAAGTCGCTCATATTCAGAATCCAAACTTCTGAAAGTTCTTTAAATCTGAAATGATTCCATCCTGTTCAATAAATGATCCGTGTTTTTAATTCAGAGTAATTTTCATGTGAATGTGCTTTACTGGAGGCATCCATGTTTGTCAAAGAACACTACTGCCACCTACTGGTTAGTGACATTGTCACGGTGCGGTATCGGCTGTTGATCAAGTCCCAGTGCTGTATCTGGTGTTTGTCACAACGCGCTATTATCCAAGTCATCTTGAAAACATTCTTCTTCCAAATGTTGGCTACATATTACGGGTTTTTTCTCTGGCCAGAAGTTCGATGGCAAATCCTCCCTCTTCAAGTTGGCGATCCAACGACCAACCCGTCCGTGGAGGATCAGGAATCAGAAAGGTGGAATAACTCTTTTTTTCACTTTTACCCGATGTATTCCAGCATCCAGCTGCCATGCACGTGGGCATTGTCAGTTTCACTATAGCTCTGGTGAATTTCAATGGTGAAGTCCTCTGGAAATCTTCAATAATTGTTGTTGATTGCAGATGTGTCTAGTAGTTCCCATTGATTTAGCTTGGAAAGCGGGGAGAATGGCGCTAGGCTTACCGCACCATATATTTGGGCAAAGATGGCCGCTCCCAGACTCAGAGATCACAAAGACAATTATTGTTTTTATTTTTTTTACAAATCAAACGTATCAGTTTTAGGTATAAATAATGATCCATTGATTATTCCTTGCTGACCGAACTTTTCCTTTAAACAATTTCCCACATTTGACTCAGACAGATTAAAAAAAGTTATTAAAAATAAACGAATTTTAAAAACTGTGGCACAGCTACAAAGCAAAGCCCAACTTTATGAGTCTGTGCAGAATCTCTTAAACCAGAAGAGATTGAGATTTTTTTAAAGGCCTATAATAAAAACATAATAGAGCTACATGTAAAGAAAAGGAAAACGCAGCAATAAAGGCTGACGGACGGTTTATGCTGACTGAGGCAGAGAGGGGATTCTCAGAGAGCTTTTTTCTTTCTTTTTCATAAAGAGCGGTAATAAGATTACGTCTATGTTTTTTTTTTGTGAGGCTCAAAGAAGATCACTGTTTTACTATATCTATTTTCTGTCCACCTAAAGTTTGTTGAAGGTTTTTTTTTTAAGGAAAGATAAGCTGTAATGTCTGCCCCTTGTTTTGTTCTTGTGAGGTTTAAATAGGATCAGTATTTTATCCATTTTTCTGTCCTCCTGAACTCCAATAATGGGTAAAATGTTCTGTTTTTAAATGTTTCATTGAGTAATTTATGCCCAGTCTGCTCTGCCTGCTTTATGCTGGAGGTGTTACTCCAAACTGACTCCCTGTGAGATGAACAGTTTTTATTTTGTATTTTCCTCCAAAGGGGATGTGTTTTATTTTGTAACGGCGCCTCTCTTCCTGTCAGACCCATGAAATTGCTGCTGAATTGCTGCGTAGTCCGACTAAAAGAGACCTGGTCTCAGGAAGTAATTTTGATCAGGGACAAAATTCCTATCAGCCAATATTCCTATTTAAAATACAATAAATAAAAATAAATAAATAGATTGAAATTCACTACTTTATTGTCATAGACACTTCAGTGTCTCTAGGTAGGACTTTTTTTCTGACTGTTTTCAGACACTAAATCTGATCAGTCTCTTCCACATAATGCAGCCACTGCAAACCCAGCAAACTGAGCTACAGAACCTGAAAATGTTTCATTACCTCAACACTGTGCAGGAAATCTGAAACAGGAGGATTTGGGCTGGAAGGGATTGTCTAATCCAATCACGCTAGGTTGGGTTGCAGGTGCTAAGGCTGAGCCCGCCAGTATAACTGCCATCAGAGGCGGGAGAACAGTCTCCTCTCCGGCTGCTCTCCGTTGCACTGATTGTGGTTCCAGTTGTTCTTCATTCGTGGTTTTCCCCAAAAAATCCAAGATGTGTTTCTGTGCCATGTCTCCTCCTCGTTTCTGTCGTTTGACTTCCTAAATTTACTATCCAGCTGCCGCAAGCCGGATATCTCTGTCCTCGGCGATCACTAGCCTGCTAGACTTTCACCCCCACTTCCAAAATCGTGTCAGGTGGGATCATCCAAACTGACTGCTGCAACACGATTTTCTGTCGGATAAGACGCCAAATCAGATTTGGTAAGTTCTGGGCTTTACACTACAGCAGGGGTGGGCAGTTCCAGTTCCTGGGGGCCGGAATCCTGCAACATTTAGATCCATCCTTGCTCCAACACTCCTGAATTAAATGGCACGGTTACCTCCTTAGTATGCAGTCACTTCCTCCAGAGTTCTCTCAATCATCTAATTATTTGATCAGGTGTGCTGAACCAAAGAAACATCTAAAAGTTGCAGGAAAGCGGCCCTCAGGAACTGGAGTTGCCCACAGCTGGGATGTTCTGATATACGGCTTTAGGAGTTAGTGCTGCCTTTGAACACCTGATTGGTAAAGATGTCAGTAACAGTTCGATAAAAATGACAGAATCTAACATTTCTCAGCAGAGGGTTGTACCCATGTTGGACCAAAGTATTTTCCAGTGTTAATGTTTCCATGGAAACATCTCAGCATACGGCGTCAGGCCAGCATACCCTCAGTTATACACATTCCATAGAGGATTCTCTGTCAGCAAATCCCGCTGTTTTATTTCCCCATTTAGTCCGATTTTTGTCCTTGTTTTGGGCATAAAAACATCTAAAAAGGTCCTTCACTAGGTCCACAACACATTAGCTTTAAAAAAAAAACATTGCAGGTCCATTTGACGAGGATCTTATTAAAGAAGATTTATAGGTATAAGATTCTACAACTCAGCTGACAGGACATGAACATTTTTTTTTTTGTTCGTTTAATATGACTGAAATGCAGATTTGTATTTTTATTTATTTATTTTTACAGTACATGAAAAACTTATTTACTAAAATTATTTTCAGATTACACATAAATAGATTCATTAATTCTGAGGGGGAAAATGAATTACTTTAAAGGAATAGTACACCCAAAACATGATTAGCCTTCATTTTCTACTCACCCCCATGCTGAACAACACTCTGGAGTACTTTTTTGATATCTCAAATGCATCTGGAGATCTGGGAGGCTTCTTGCTGTCTGCTGACATTCAAATAATGGAGGTCTATGGCGCCCGAGGCAGAAAGGTCCATAAAAGTCCACAAAAAACGTGTCAATATTCCTCCATACTGCTCGTCCAATGTATTCCAAGTGTCCTGAGTGGGTAGCATCCAGAATTTACTCGAAACGAAGTCATTTAGAATGTTTTTAGAGCATAAACAGTAGTGTATAGGATTTCCTGAAAGCGCGTTCACGAGTCTACGGAAACCGCGGCAGACCAAACCAGATGAAAGTGCGCATTCAGCGTCTGCTCTGCCGATAATGCAAGCGTAGAAGAAGAAATGTGCTGTTTACCTGTGCAAAGAAAGAAACAACGAAAGAAAAATGTCTGAGGACTTCAGTGTTGAGGAAGAGCATGAGTTCTTTGCCGAGCTGAATGCGCACTTTCATCTGGTTTGGTCTGCCGCGGTTTCCGTAGACTCGTGAACGCGCTTTCAGGAAATCCTATACACTACTGTTTATGCTCTAAAAACATTCTAAATGACTTCGTTTCGAGTAAATTATGGACGCTACCCACTCAGGACACTTGGAATACATTGGACGAGCAGTATGGAGGAATATTGACACGTTTTTTGTGGACTTTTATGGACCTTTCTGCCTCGGGCGCCATAGACCTCCATTATTTGAATGTCAGCAGACAGCAAGAAGCCTCCCAGATCTCCAGATGCATTTGAGATATCAAAAAAGTACTCCAGAGTGTTGTTCAGCATGGGGGTGAGTAGAAAATGAAGGCTAATCATGTTTTGGGTGTACTATTCCTTTAAGATTAGGATTCACTGGGTGATAACAGCCTACTGAGCCTACTGGTACGATCTAAAGCCATTCACTGATAACCGCTAATAACCATCATCCACGCATGCGTATTACTAACTGTAAGCTGGGCCGACAGAACACCTGCAGCACAATAAGAAATAAACCTTCACAATAAGCATCAAACAGCCCGGAGCGTGTTCTGAGGTCAGCGGTGGGTTCTGACCCCCGCAGGTCGAGGTTAGTTCTCTCCTCTTGGTGGTCATGATGAAGGCGTTTATGTGAGGAATATGAAGACTTCCCATCACTACTGGGCAGCATGGGCCTCCACCTGAACAGAACAACAAATAATACTGAGACTCATCTGCAACTTACCGGCAAGAGCGCGACGTAGAGCTGCGACTGGCTGGAGTGGGGGCAGACATGGAGCCGGACCCACCCTAGAACTGGACCTGGAGATTTTCTCTGGCTCCTGTTTCCAGCTCAGCTCCAAGAGCCTGAAAGGAAAAGCAGAGGAGAGGTGAGGCAGCTAACGCTAAAACCTGATTTATGCTCAGAAACCAGCTCGTCTGCATGAGTGTCACAGTTAACACAGATATGCCCACCCCCCCCGTTCTGCAGACCCCCCAGATATTGGAGGTGATCGCAGACAGTGCCGCAGGGAGGAGGGAAAGGAGGCCTCTGATTGGTCAATTCTACATCCGCCCTACACTATGCATGTTTCCTGTTTGGTGGAAACTCTGGCTGTAGCTCCGCCCACAGCACCTGGCAAACCTCGGACTCTATCCAGACACCGTACAGGACGCTAGTTTGTAGCTCTGTGCGATGCTCTGTTGGTTTGCACCCGAAGCCAAAACACGCAGCGCCACGGCCAGCCTTCTGCAAACACTCACCTGTGAACTGTGTGTCGTCTGACGCTGGATGAGGGGTTATAGACGGGAACAAGCTCGTCAAACCGACACAGAGACTCACAATCCTAGCTAGTTGGTGACTGTCCCTCTGGCGTTGTGCAGATCTATGTCATACCTGTGACACCCTAACTGCGACGCACTGCAGTGGGAGAATAAACAGCTCTTAAGAAACAAGAAAGGTCCTCAGCTGCTGCCCCGCAGCTCCTGTGTTCGGCTCAGGGCTCTTCAACCGCCGGCTGGGGCTGCAGACTCAGACTGGGTCACCATCTAATAAACATCACAGTCAATCAACCAATGATCTCTCAGCCTAACGGGCAAAATACCCAATCAGCAGTTGACCTTTTTATCTGTAGCTCAGAGCTGCTATGGTTCTTCATTTCAAGCAAATGTTACTTTGGAAATAATAAAATAGCAGCTGAATGCAACAGTTATGCTAACAAGACTCCAGAATCCTTCAGGTTCAGTTGCAATATGGTGCAAATATGTCGTATTTTTCTACCACAGAAATATCCTGCCAGCGTCTGAGAGCAGCTCAGAGAGGAAGCTGCTTTCTCTCATCAATAATGTATCACTACTTGGTTGGTAGTTGAGAGGCGGGCCTCTCTATGTGAGATATTTCCTGCTGTGCTGCCTGACAACCATGATTCACTCATAAAATCTTACTCATTATATTTTAATCACCTGCCGAGGATATACTTCATTTAAGTCCAGTTTATCTCCACAATAAGGATTTACAATTTAATAACATGGATCTATTTCAAATCTTTCCACATTGTTATGATTTTACTTTTAATTCAATTCTATTCAGTGTATTTCTATAGCTCCAATTCACATCATGTCATCTCAGGTCACTTTCCAGTTCACCAGATCATCCAGTCAGATTGATTCAAAGTTTTCTATCTAAGGAAAA